GCTCAACCAGCAGTGACAGCCCCAGCCCCAGCTTTCTGCACTTCCGCTGCATTGCTCAGGGGAGGGTACAGGTGGGGTGGGGGCAGGACAAGGGCAGGGAAGAGGAGGGGAGAAGGTGAGGCAGGGGTGGGGAGCAGAGCAGGGCTGGGCAGGGAGGGGGTTAGCCCAGGGCTTCCCCAGGCTAGGGGGGAGGGGTGTTGTGGCAGATGGCCCCCTCTTCAGCAGTCACCTCAGGAGCAGGGCCATCAGGGCAGGCATTGCGGGATACTGGCAGAAGTCCGTTCGCTTGACAAAACAAACAGCAGCGTCCACACTGGCTCTTAGTCAACAATAAAGGGAGGGGAAAGAAAAAATTTTTGTCGCCTGTCCCAACAAATGTAGCATTGCAGTGTGTTCGCTCTGACTGGCTGGCAGCTTTTGGTGACAAAACTTGTTAGTGTAGATAAAGCCTCAGGTTCCAGACACACCAAGCCGTGAACACGTGGTTTAAAGCCCAAAACAGAGCAGTCCAGTCGATTGATTTTATACTCTAAGCCAGTGTTTCTCAACCTTTCTTTTTTTTATAAAGTACCCCTTTTTCACACACACACAAAAAATTATAAGTACTCCCAGTACCTACAATTTTCAGACAGACAACATTTTTTTCTACTGTTGCAACACATTTTTTAAAACAAGTTCATCATAGCTGGGCGGGTGATGACATTTTTGGGTGTATAAAGTACAAAAATAATAAAATGCTGCAAAACTTAAAACAAAACAAAAAACAGTTTTCTCCAAATTTCAGTTGTGTTGAAGTACACCCCCCCTCCCCCAGACGTCTCTGGAGTACCTCTAAAAGTACTTGTGCCACTGGTTGAAAAACACTGCTCTAGGCTGTGTGCTGTAAAGATACATTGAGTCAGGTCTTTTATGGACACTTGTGATGTTCTGATGTCAATGGTCATTGTTATGTGATGTGTCTGCAGACTGTGATTACACATGGATGTATATCGACAACTGCTCTGTTACAAGGCCAGCTGGCAGGGAGCTGCTGCATCCCCAGTCAGCTGAGGCTATCCCCAAGCACCTAGTATTGTACAACCCAGCCAAAGACAAGTGCTGGGTCATTAGTTAATGGGCGGACACAGACATCCCAGCTAGACTCCCTCCCCCCTCCATGAATAACCATGAGTCAGCATGGGATGGGGGTGGGAGAGAAGAAAAAAACATTTTACAAGGGAAGCTGGGAACAGGTCAACTCTTGACCCAGAATCTGGGGCCAGGCCTCCACTGCAGCCTTATCTCAGTCTAGCTACGTCACTCAGGGATGTGAATTTTTCTCACCCATGAGTGTTTGTAGTTACCCCACCTAACGCTGTGTAGACAGCTATGCTGGCAGGGGAGATCCTCCCAGGCTGTAGCTACTGCCTCTTGGGGAGACACGTCTTCGCTAAAGCACTGCAGCTGACGGCTGTGCCATTCTCGGGCTGTCTGGGAAAACCAGTCCTTGGGGCCAGCTTGAGGACAGGAGCCTGTGTATGAACAGTGGATTCCCTGCTAAAGAGAGGGTGTCTCTGGGATACCATTCCAAGTCCCAAGCAATAGGGAACTTGGATTAGAAAAGGGGTTTTATTCAGTTTAGACGCCTAACGCCTGCAACGGCATCTTTGCGTGGAACTATTGTGTAACTGGGATGGGTTTGCTCCCCATGGAATCTTGTTAAATAAACTTCTTGCTAATTTCCACACACACAGCCCCCCAAGCAGGTCACTGAATGGAGTATGCACGCCCCTGTGAGCTGATCCCACTTTTGCGAGCGATGAACCATAGGGAGAAAGTTCATTGCCAGACACTTGAACTCAGGAGGACGTGTTCAGGGAGACCCAGGAGGGGAAGGCTGTTGGTGTGATTCTCTCAGGAGTAATGAGGCTGGAGAGAGTTCAGGGGAGCTCTTGTGCTCTTCCGCTCTGGGATTTGAATCAAAGCCCCCTCCTCCCTGCCGAGATTACAGGGCAGGACAAACCCACTTACTGCTCTGGGTCATTCACAAAATGGCACCCCCATGGTTTTGCTTTGTTTCAAGGGATCTGGCAGAGGTTAAGCCCCATGCAAGGGTAGTGAGGGTAGAAGGGCACCGTCCATAACTGAACAACTCAGACTCAAGCATTTGCTAGTACTTTGACTTGATTGTGGCAGCTGCTGTCCCTTAGACAAAAGAAACCCATGCACAGATCTCCCATACACAGCAGCCTCATGCATGGTATTTTCTCCTTCCATTCATAGGGGCTACCTTCTCTCAATGGTTAAAGTAACTTCAGATTTCTTACTGGTCCTGTCCAATTGCAACCCAGGTCCCTGCCCTGCTGGCTTCTGCTGCAGCTCAGCCAGCTCTTGCTAGAGCTGCGTACCAGGACTCACCCACTTACTTTCACCTCTGCGTTCTCCCCATCCATTACTTACTTCCTTGCCTCTGTGGTGGCTTCATTATCATTTTCTCTGTGAATAGGCTCCATGCTTCTCGTGCATGCAATTGCATCCACTCACCCCACACGTGGGAACAGCCCCATGCGTACATGGGTTCTCTTTCACCATCCCCGTGATCCTTCCATCCCCCTGAGTGTGGGATTATCTTGCTCCACTGCCCCTACGCAGTCATCTCCTCAAATCCCACCCCCTTCCAGGATTTTCTTTCTTGGACTGAGATTGACCCATGGGCCAAGTCAGACTCATCATCAAACCTCATTTGGAACAGTGTTTTCAGATTCTACTTTCCATGTTCAACCATTTGTTTTTCCTTCTAAAGGGAAATCACTAAAAAAGAACTGAGCAAGCAAACAGCCTTGCATCTTCCACACATGCTATCTGCACGATTGCCTCCTCCCACCCCACTGCTGTGCCTGCAGTGGATTATTGTAACTAGACTGTTGTCTCCTCTGCATTTGGGAGCTACACTGCAGCCATTCTGACTTTCCAAGGCAGGGGGTAAATCTCTGGTCCTCCTTCTCTAGGAAGACAGGAGTACTTGAGCTAAAGCACAGTCACCACCAAGAAATAAAGCCAGTAACCTCCTGTGGAATAGTTCTGCCTCTGTCCAGCAAAGGGGCAGCAACACATACAAGAGAGTTGGGAACAGGTGTCTGAATAGAATGATTTGTATCTGGTCTGTAAGATCCCTACCACGGGAACTAGCATTTTATTTTATTTTACAACTTTAAAATACGCAATTAACTGTAAAAAAAAATAGACCAGTAAACACAATACCAGAAAAAGCCTTCCATTGCTCTTATTCTGTACTGCCCTTCCCTGCGAGAGCCAAAACATTAGTTGTCAGAAGGAAGAGACCACTCAGGAGTATAATTAGTTGACAACCAGCTATGGAAAACTTCTTAAGACCAAACTAGCCTTACAAACAGTAACGAAGCTGAGGCCCCTGGTTGTCCAGCTTGACATCTTGGGTCTGGTTTTCAATGGTGTGGAGCATACATGAGAAGTTGTGTTTTGTTCCTCCGAAAATCAGGGCTCCACAGTCCAGTTTTTCGAGCGTGCTTAGCATGTTGGGTGCAACTGATTGCTTTGGAAAATATGCCCAGAAGTGTCATAAATGGCACCTGCCGGAGACTTTTGAAAATCGGACTCTTGTTTAGATGGAATACTAGAATTGCTCTTTCGAAAATCTGACCCCACCTAGCTCAAGCTGGGTACCCAAAAATAGCGGTCCCAGCGGGCACTTGAAGACACAGGTCTTGCTAAATTGCATTGGCTACCATAAGCCTACAAGAGTTGGCCAACTCTTCAATGGGATAGAGACATAGATGTCTGAGCCTATTTTCAGCAAAGCCAGTAGCAAGACTCCTCTTGACTCCGATGAAGGCCGCCATTGTGTTCTTTAACAGAACAAATCTTGGTATCAACTCTTCAGTTGATTTTGTAAGCATTTCTATTGTTGCCTGTACACCCTCTCTCTACATTCTTCTAATCAAGGAGCATTTAGGGCTTGATCCAGCATGGCATGGAAGATGGTCAACGCCCAGGAGCTGAAGTTGCTGAGCAACTGGCAGAACGGGGCTCTTAGTTGAGGAGTACAGCTGTCTGGATAGCAGGGAAGAAAAACACATGTTGAGAAGGCAGCATCTAAGCTACCTGGGAATATGAAACTTTTCTAGATTTGCCCCCTATAGGAGCTCTAAATCATACCAGTTACCTCCCTTTGTCTTGGAGATAGGCCACACATTCCCCTCACTATTGGTGCTCTAGTAGATCCTTTTTACTATCCGGCTTGACCAGTGCATCTTTTCTTCTTGATTTGCACAGCTGGATTATCCTTGACTGCAGCTGCATTAAGGCCAAATTCTAACCCTGCTGCCTTCTCCACACACCTGGCTCCACATCACAGAGCCCCCACAA